AAATAAAATTTTATTCTAAAACTTTCGAGGCGTTACAAGTGCTACATCAACATCAATGCATTGTGCATTTTTGCGCGCACATCGAAGAGAGAGACGGAGCGACGGCGTGCGAACGAAGAGAGATAAAGGGGAGACGGACTGTGGCACACGGTGGTGGTCCATATTTATATTTTAAAAAAATTATATATCTGAATTTTTAAGTTGAATCTTAAAAGTTATAGTTGAGTGTAATTTCCACATATTATTTCCTATGTTTCTAGAAAAAAATATGTACAAATTTTTGGCCCGATGTTAATTTTTTTTCTTTTTTGAATAAAATTTTGTGGTAATTAAATTAGATTTTTAGTAAATTTTGATAAAATGTGGTTAAAAAATTGAGGGACCCAATAAATATATGATTAAAATTGATTATTAACTTTGACTTTGATTAGTTTTTAATTAGCACCAAACATGCTACGATTCACGGGATCCATACAACAGTGTCATATAACACCAAAAAGCGAAACTTCTGCGAAGGTGCCTTTGTGTTTTTTCGGCGTATATATGGTCACACATATTAGCTCACTCCAAGAAGTAGAACCAAACAAGAATCATTACTGCATGCACGTTGCGCACACAAATTAATTGCCTACTGTCTATGTAAAGTGATAAACTTCATTTTCTCCTTTTCAAGTGTGGGAAAAATGGCTTCTACAGAACCATGGCTTCTAGAAAATGGCAACATCAGGTGCCTGACCAAGGAAACGAAGCACGGACACTGCCGGACGGCACATAACATGTCTTCTTCGTCTCTGCGTAAAAAATCGGACCTAACCCTTATTTCCAAAGTCCGACAAGGGTTTCTCCGAAGTTTTCTGGTTAATTTGCAAGAAGTTTTGTTGGGAACAAAGCTATCGGTTTTGTTTCTGGCAATTCCTTTCGCCATCGCTGCTCAGTGTAAAAATTTTGGAAGAGTGAGTATTCTTTATTTACTTTTATTTTTTCGTTGATTACTATGTTGTCTCTTGTCTGTTGTTACCTAGTATTCATCGTAACTTTTTCCTTGTTTGGGTAGATTTTAACTTTCGGATTTTCACTAATTTATTGCTAAAATCATACATATGATTAAAAAAAAAAAAACTGTTCCCTCTTAGCCTTCTTGTATTAATTATAATTATTTCTCAATCAGTAACCATGGAGTTTCATTTTATTTATTTATTTATTTTGGACAGCCATGGGTGTTTGCATTGAGTTTACTTGGACTCGCCCCGCTTGCTGAACGTGTCAGCTTTTTAACAGAGTAAGAATTTTATAATCAATTTTTTTTTTCATTTTCTTCAATAGAAAGTTCAATCAGAATCTAACAATTATACTCTCCATCTTTGGTTCTTAATAATTTATATAGGCAACTCGCTTTCTACACAGGTCCAACAGGTAATCAATCCATTACCACACATTTTTTTTTATGTTATCCCGAGAATAAAGCTTAGTTTGTTATTGTATTCTTTCGTTACATTATGGGTTCCTAATCCCTTTTTTTTTCAGTTGGAGGGCTGCTAAATGCAACATGTGGAAATGCTACAGAGCTCATAATATCCATACTTGCTCTAGTCAAGCACAAAGTGGATATTGTGAAATACAGTCTACTCGGTTCTATACTTTCGAACCTCCTCTTGGTTCTTGGATCCTCTCTATTCTGTGGTGGCATTGCAAATCTTGGAAAGGAGCAAAAGTTCGATAGAGTAAGACGTTTCACTTCCATTAATCGCCTGGAAATACAATTCTTCGAATAATTATCTAATATTTAGAGGGGTGTTGAACTGGAACAGAAACAAGCGGATGTGAACGCGCTCCTTTTGTTGCTGGGATTGCTTTGCCATGTTTTGCCCTTGATGTTTCGATATGCTGAAAATGCCACGGATCTAACAGGGACTGAAACTCTTGCTTTGTCAAGAGCCAGTTGTATTGTGATGCTGATTGCATACATTTCTTACCTCGTTTTTCAGCTATGGACTCATCGACAACTATTTGAATCTTCTGAGGTATTCTTTAGGTCATGTAGAATGTTCTTATAGAAGACGTTTGGTATGGTCCACTGTGTAGTACTTGATTCTTCACAGTATCGACTTATCTCTGTGAAAATTATCAGGATGAAGAAGAAGATAGTGACGTGGTATCGGATGAATCTGCTGTAATTGGATTCTGGAGTGCATTTATTTGGCTAGTTCTGATGACTGGTGTTATAGCCTTACTCTCAGAATATGTTGTGGGAACAATTGAGGTAAATTTCTATATAAATTACTAAAGGTGGGGATTGTTCAAAATGTATATGAAAGTTTACTATGAACTGGCATTTCTTGCAACAGGATGCATCAAACTCTTGGGGATTATCAGTCAGTTTCATCAGTGTAATTTTACTACCAATTGTGGGAAATGCAGCAGAACATGCTGGGGCTATCATATTTGCCTTTAAGAACAAGCTGGTAAGTCATGGACGACGGTTTTTTTATTTTTCAAACGAACAATTTGAAGATGATTCTAATTGATATTCGATAGTTCTAGATGTAGACCTCTAACCTACGCAAAAAAAAAAAAAAGAAGCGCTGTTGTTCTTTCCTTTTCGTCTCTTTCTTCGTTTTTATCTGCAGAGTCTAAGAAGAGAATTTTTCGAACAGGATATTACTTTAGGCGTAGCATTGGGTTCAGCAACTCAAATTGCCATATTTGTGGTAAGTATACATCTTAATCATAAATTACATCATTGAGGTACAATGATTTGCGTGCTGATGATCAAATAATCAATAAAGCTATTTGTACAAAGTTGAGTTACAAAAGTTGGGTTACAAAGTGGGTTGGCAAAATCCAAACTGTTGATTTCAAATGATTTAAAAATCTTTTTTTTTTAAAATGATTGGTTTAGATATTATTTTGCCCACTCAACTTTCTATATGTAGCATAACTCTTAAATAATTCATGTTTCTAATAATTTTCTGAATTAATCAGATTCCCTTGAGCGTAATTGTGGCATGGATAATCGGTATCGACATGAATCTGGACTTGAATATCCTCGAAACTAGCTGTCTTGCTCTATCAATTATCGTCACAGCATTCACTTTACAGGTAACAAAATTAACAAGTGCGCGAATCTTACATAAATACAGGAACGAAATTAACAAGTGCGCGAATCTTACAGGACGGAACATCTCATTACCTTAAAGGACTAGTTCTTCTGTTATGCTACCTAGTTATGGGAACTTGCTTTTTCATTTTCAGAACTTCAAAAGGTAAGCATCAACCTTAAAATTTACTATGTAATCAAGAACTAAAAATCTTTATACCCAACTAATCGTGTTTTTTGTTGAATCTGTTTGCAGTTCATGCAGAAACTGTCAACATAACTTCAAGATCATCCAATATAGGAGAAATGAGAGTTTGATCAAAGGCATGTAAACCAGTCGAGTGCTCTTTACATAATGTACGTAACGACGACTAATATTACTTCAGTATGAGTTGACAGGTTGGCCTTTTAGATTTGGTTCCATGAAAGATTCTAACAATTTGCATGCATTTGTTATTTTTTTCATTGGGATTGATTTTTCAAGTTGGTGGGCACAAATGGAGAAGAATTCTGCGTTGTTCTGTACAGTGGGATCCATTGAAGATGCAAGAATTTCATGTGAGATTATGAGCAGATGTTTTTTCTTTTCTTGTTCCTTGTTTGGTTCCCTTTTTTTTCCGTACATGTCTTTTCCCTAAGATGTTACAGTTCTAATTTGATTTATCAATAAATAAAATACAGTTTTTTTCACTGTTAATCGAATGAATTTTCAGTGGCGAGAGATAGCTATTAATTATTTTGGTTAATGATGGTATTTAAAATTTGTTCGTTTGTGGAGTTATGAATAAACAATTAATGTCGACGTGTGCTTCCAAAATAAGGGTATGAAATTCCAATAAAACTCCAAGTATAGGAAAATTTTAACAGAATTGATACCGACGCTGATGTGATCGAACATTATTGGTCTTTTTTTCGTTTCCCCATCTTCCAATAGTGTCACTTCAAGTGTTGTCGGTAAAAAAAAAATTGTGCTTACAATAGGATTGATGAAATTCTCGTGTTGTACTTTGGGAATTACGATTTGTCCTGCTCTCACCATGTACCAATCGGGGATGGGAATATGGTCCCCTTCTCGAAACCCTCCCCTCTTATATTTAAATTATATTTAGTCCTATTTGGTGGGGATTAAAATAAAATTTTAATAAAAATTGATGAAATGTGTTGTTAAAAAGTTGTGGAATCCACAAAATATGTGATTAAAATTAATTGTTAATTTTGATTTAAATTAAAATCTAGTCTACCCATTATGGGCTTAAGTAATAAAAAGATAAGCTATAGTAAAAATGGAATTGCTTAGGGTGCAAATTATCAGCTCTAGCAAATTGTCATCTAATGGAAATAGGACCCCACTAAAGACTGTGAAGATAGGGTAGGGCGGCGAATAATGTGCAATTTAATCGTTGATAGGCTTTTGAAAATACTGAATCTATACCCTAAGTGGAAAATTAATGTACTAGACCGCGGCATTGATGTGAGATTAAATGATAAGTGAAATTAAATGACTCATTTAATTTTACCTTTCATTTAACGTATTATCTCACACCACCTAATTTGGGATTACAATCCCAATGGGACTACATAACATTATTTCGTATTGAGCATTTGCCACATGAGAATGCGAATATCAAGCCGTCCATTTAGTACATGATGAAAATTTTTCGCTAATTTGGGATTACAATCCCAATGGGACTACATAACATTATTTCGTATTGAGCATTTGCCACATGAGAATGCGAATATCAAGCCGTCCATTTAGTACATGATGAAAATTTTTCGATGTGTGTTCATTGCATCACACACATCAACACCAAGGCCCATTAACGGCTCACGTTCAGGGCCGGTCCTGTGATTTCAAAGGCCCGAGGCAAACTCCCAAAAATGGGCCCCCCCCTTCACAAAGATCAACGTAAATGCAAAATTCAACAGTGCATCATGCAACATATTGCTAACTTAACACGACGAGTAGAACAACAAACAAATATAAAG